GCAGCCAGATCGTCTACACCGACACCGAGGGCTGCCTGGGCCTCCTGGACGGACTGGGCGGCTCCACCACCGGCACCGGCAAGGTAGAGCTCAGATTACTGACTGCACGGCTCATGTTGCATCCATACATCTACGTGTTCATACATTAGTGTGTTCATAGCGCTCTGTTCATTCTGTTTCTGCTATAACCTTATTTATGTAGCAACTTTCTAAAGTTCACAACAAATCAATAAAGCAACACCAGATGAAAATAATAAAATAAAATGCCATAAAGAGCAAGTGGGCTAAAAGGAAACAGAGTAAAACTGTAAACACAAAGCTAATAATAATAATAATAATAATAATAATAATAATAACTCAACAGAATCAATATGTAAAGTAAATAACGGGTAAAAGAGAATAAATTGAAAAATAAAATAAAGTTTAAAAAAATAAATAAAATAGACAATAATAATAAAAGTACAAAATTGACAAAAACATAAACAGACAACTATGTCACTCTGTATTTATACGGTACTATTTTATACTTCACACAGCTGTAAATATAAAATAAATCTAAAACTTCGACATAAAACTTCTTTAAATATAAAATGAGAAAAAAAAGTTGCACAAAACGTCTTTAAAAATAGAATAAATTTCTACATAAAACTTTTTTTTTTTTTAAATCTAAAATTTCTTTTAATATGAAGTGAATCTAAAATTATACATAAAACTTATTCAACAACACATATAGTAGAATCCACTCCATTAGAGGTTTTCCGCTGTTGTTGAGGCTTAACTCTGGGTTTTGTTTATTGTTTTTTTACATCATGAACAAAGTTAATGGTGAACTGGGGTAAATAACTGCCCTCTTGCTTTAGTTCTTTGCGGGTTTGAAGTCGTTCTAGTTGCCAGTTTGCGTTTCTACAGAAGTGTTAAAGTGAACTGAGCCCGTTCATAACCAGCTTTCTGATCACGTTCATCCAGGATCACAGATTCCAGCTGATTTTCCATCAAAATAAAATAAAACAATAAACATTCTCAGCTTCTCATTGTCACATTTCTTGTCCTGCTGTTAACATCAACCTGTTAAATTCTCTGGACTTTCAGCAGGCGTCGGTCAAAAAGCCAGCGGGAGACTACGACGACCTGTTCGACGACGACGACAACAGACTGATGGATGAAGGACTCAGCGACACAAACTCGCCGGTCAAGAAGCCCGTCGCCCCCGACGACGACGATGACGACGACTTCCTGATGCCGGCGACCGGCCGGGTGAGGAACCGAGGGGCGATCCTGGACGATGAGAACTCCCTCGGTGAGCGAAAGATGAATATTTAAGACTTCTGCTTGTTCAGTGGCTTCAGTGATTAACAGGTTATCAGAGTGGTAAATTGATTTTCTGCTGTTTGGTTTCTATCCATAAACTTTGGCTTCTGGACAGGAACAGAAAAGACACAGCTGGTTGTTTGTACTTCCAGCGTAGCCCAATTTATTTTATGTGGGTTATTCCATCTCAGATCATTTGTTTGACCGTCTCTAATTGGCTTAAAACTTCTTTTTCTTTATAAACTATGCACGTTTGAAATGATATCTTTTATTTTCTAAAAAATTGCACATTTTCAGCATTTTTTTTTTTTTTTCACAAATTGAACATTGAGGCTGTTTGAACGACAATATCTCAGGAACTATTAGAGATAAAAGCCTGAAATGTTCACTGTTACTTCACACCATGACCTGGATTCAGAGTCTGCAATATGGGACAAGCAGATCAGATAATCTCTGAATATGGGTGAGTTGAAATATGAGGGGAAAACATTTAAGGCATCATGAAAAGTCGTATCTTTGAGCTCATTAATAAAAAAAAAAAAAAATGTGAGCTGGGGATATTATTCTGAACCACATGTAGATTCATGTCACAAATATACAAAACAAAACATAAAAAATACTTTTTAAGATTAAAAACTTGATCACAAAGCTATTTTAGTTGAACTTTTATAACCTTATCGAGCAGGTGTGTCAACAAAACTAACATCGTTTGTACGTCGCCTGATTTCATTTTTCATTTTCTGACTCCACTTTAAATAAATCTTGGTTTGGTTTCTCAGATATCTTCATAAATATTTTAACCTGTGCAGAATTCCGGCATATCAGAGATGGTTTAAGCAGAAATGTGCTGATTTTAGATGGAATGATCCACGTCTATATGTTCAATGTTTTATTCTAATAATCACATAAAAGGAAGAATTCTGTTCTAGTTTAGTGATGTCCGCCTCCAGTCCTTGTTCATCTCTTTGATTATCCACACAGACGATGGTTTTCTCTGCTTTCTAGCACATTAAGCTTGATTTAGGTGACGAAAGATGCAGAATAATTGGGCTTAACATCTACAAAAACTGGAACTAATTCTGTATTTGCTCGTTTCTTCCTTCAGACACGGGATCCCTGCGACTCGGTCAGGACCGGTTCGGAGACGATGACGATGCCGGCAGCGCTGTGGTTCCTGCTTCGGCTCCGCTGGTTCCCCTTCGTCCCGTCTACGAAGGGCCGATGCCGACACCTCCTCAGAGGGCCTTCCAGTCTGGATCCACTCCAGCTCATCTTACACATCGCTTCTTGGTAGGACGAGTTCATGAGGCGCATGTCGTTTTACTCATCGCTTCCTCGGCTGCTGGAGGAGCTTTGAGTGAAGATGCACAGGTGTTTCCTCCATGAAGGGTTTTCTGCACCTGTGACATAACGGAGGCGACACACAGCTGGAATATGAAAACCATGTTGGCAGGAGGACCGACAAATGTGTGTTTATGATATTCAGTATTAATGTATGTCAGTCTTTATTTGTACAGTGCTATTTCATAGTTCACACTGCTTTAAATATAAAACCAACAGTCAGAGGTGAGGACGTCTCATTTTGATAAACACCTGTTGCCTCGACTCCTCTCTCCTCGCGTCAGCTCCTCGCCTCCTCTGCTTGAATCTCTGCTGGGAGGGAATAAGACACGAGGAGAGGAGTCGAGGATGTCCAACTAGTGAGATGGGATGTGAGGAAGTTCTCACGGTTTGATGAAACCGATGTTCAGACAGTGTTGTAGTGACACTCTGCCTCTGTCTCAGATGTGGAACTCTGTGGGGATCATCCGAGGCTACAACGACGAGCAGGACAACGCCATCGACGTGGAGTTCCACGACTCGGCCGTGCACCACGCCATGCACCTCACCAACTCTCTGGGCCACACCATGGCCGATCTCTCCCAGGAGGCCGTGCTGCTGGCCTGCCCCAGCACCGACGAGCTCGCCAGGTGAGCCTCCCCCTGACATTGTGTGTGTTGGTGTCTCTTAATTCTTCCAGTAAATCCTTCAAACCAAACTGCTGCTCTCTCCTCCCAGCAAGCTGCAGTGCCTCCACTTCTCGTCGTGGGACACCAACAAGGAGTGGATGGTGGACCTGCCGCAGGGCGAGGACGTGAAGGCGCTGTGTCTGGGTCAGGGCTGGGCGGCCGTCGCCACCGACACGCTCACGCTCCGCATGTTCTCCATCGGAGGAGTCCAGAGAGAAATCTTCAGCCTGCCGGGGCCGGTGGTCTGCATGTCGGGACACGGAGAGCAGCTGCTCATCGTCTACCATCGAGGTCAGACGCACTCATGCACCTCACTGTGATGTTTACTCTGTGCAGAATAGAATCCCTTTGATTGGCTTTTTAAATCATAATCTGTCGGCGTGTTGTACGTAAATACAAGGTGCAGTTGGAGGTAAACGTATGTAAACGCGTAGCTTCAGTAAATCTATATAAAGTGCATAACGTAGTAGTTACGTGTCTTGTAGGCACTGACAGCACAGTCAGCGTTTGGCAGAATTACTTCCTCTTATGGCTCTGGGTTAGAAGCTGTTTTCCAGTCTGTGTGTACAACGGCTGTGTTTCCAATGAATAGACAACGTTCAGAGCTGCATGTCACAAGAATACAAAACATATGCAACACTTGTTGATGTCTAATACTTTGACACAAAAATAACAGTGTTCTTACTGTGATATTTACGCTGTGTGACCGCCGTGTTTCTGGTTTAAAGGCTACATCCACAGTTCTCTACGTGTGACGACAGTAATCAGGGCTCTTGTGTTCTCCTACAGGAAACTTTAAGCATCAAACTCTTCATTTTCTGGATTCTGGCAGATTTTTGGCCCCAGTTTGTAATAAAAAGGTCTATTTGTAAATAAAAAACACAAAATAAAGGCACAGAGTAAATGTTCTAGAGGTTTATTGGGGTTTATTGTCATTTTATGGGGTGAAAAGTTACACATGTTCTAAATACCGAGAACCTGTATCCCCCCTGAAATCTACACCTATATGCTCCTTTATTTCTTATTTAAATTTCAATACCGCTGTAGGCTGTATAGACAGAATAAAAATGGAGTTTAGATCTTTCTTCTTTTTTTTTTGCTGTCCATTAATAATTGTGCCTAAAAAAAACAAACAAAAAGAAATTAAAACATCTCCTGAATGTTTGCTTCACAATCTAGAGAAACTAGCAGAGTTATGAGCTTTGACTTAGACCACACATGCATGCTGTCTGTGTGGACGTGTGAGTCCACGCCAACTTTTCTGAGTGACAACGTGAATTTAAATCTTGCCCGAGTCGACTAATCAGTCTGGTCACGCCTTCTGTTGCACTCAGCAGGTGTCTTTGTCGCTTTCTAGCTTTTTATGGAGCCTTAAATCCTTGCCTGTGTTTTTATTTTTCCGTCCTCAGCTACGGGTTTCGACGGTGAGCAGGCTCTGGGCGTTCAGCTGCTGCAGTTCGGTCGAAGGAGGAGGCAGCTGATCAACGGAGAAGCTCTGCCGCTGTCTCACAGATCTCACCTGTCCTGGCTGGGATTCACCGCCGAGGGTCAGTCTGTCAACATCTTGTACATCCTCTCTATTAAACTAGCAGAAGTAAGTAACCTCATCCGAAGCGGCATTTCTTTGACACGTCCGTTTGTGCTTTTCAGGCACTCCGTGCTACGTGGACTCAGACGGGGTGGTCCGGATGCTGAATCGATCTCTGGCCAACACGTGGACGCCGGTTTGTAACACCAGAGACACCTGCAAGAGCAAGTCGGATCACTACTGGGTGGTCGGAGTTCACGAGAACCCTCAGCAGCTCAGGTGAACTTTCTGCTGCCTCTTATTTCACTTACATGTGTTGTGAAAATGCTGCCATGACTTGTGTTAACTGCAAAAGAAAGCCAACACAGTGCCGGGTTGTTGCATTGAGGGAGAGCTGAGTGCAGGTTTAAGTAGCTTTCACCTGGTGGAGAAATAATGTTTTTGGATGGAGTGTCGCATAAAGATTCAGTAAAACTACTTGTGTGGCAGAAAATATAGACACAGAGGGGCATAAAAACT